AATATATTTTGGAAAGTATGATTGAATCTGCACTCCTCAAGGACACTATGAAAGAGACTGCTGTAAAAGCTAACATACTTTACCAGCACAGGCTCTCTCTGAGAAATGCAACCTGAGACATAAAGCACATGAAAAAACAAAATTCTTTATGAAATAGGTTAAGAAAATGCCCAGAGTAAATCAGTGGCATATAGGAACATTTTTTTAGATTTGATGTTTTTACAAGAAAATTAGATAACATATTCTGTTTGTTTTCATTCACCTCTAGATTTAAAAAAAATGTCTATATGTTATGCATAAATATTTTTAATTTTTAAAGTTGATTTCAAAATAACTGGGTAGTATCAAGGCATTTTTTGATATTTTTCATCCAAGAGTCTGAAAAGTCTAGAGAACAAAGGCGATGTGAGAGAGCGTTTTCCTTTCTCCTTACTGAAGATGTTTAAAAGGGAGAGTGGGACAAGAGCATATACCAGAAAACCCAACAGACAAAAAGTTGTACATATTGGAAATGTTGATTTTATGCCATTTATGTCGATGTACAATTCCGTCATAAAGGATAATCTTACCTGTTGTCCGTGTCTGACCTACCAGGCTGCCAGCCCTTTTTCCCATTCCTAGCTATGTTTGATGGAAATCAGTACGGAGACCTTTCTCCAGAATTTAATTTTTACTTCAATTCTTTTGCATCCATATGCTGAGCAACTTACTTTTTTTTTTTTTTTTTTTTTTTTTTTTTTTGTAACATCAGCCTCCTAAATCTTTAGTTCAAAGGAGAGGTCAAAGAACAAAGAAGCCATCAGTGGAGGCTGACACCACACAAACCAGTTCAGATCATCTGCATTCAAATCAATTGCAGGGGGACACCAATTTTTTCTGACATAGAACCTTAACTGTCCTGGCTCTGGGAAATGGTGTGCTAGAGATGGGAAGGGAATCACGTTGGAAGATGCACAATCAAGTTTGCGAAGTGTCATGAGAAACACACATTGATGTTTTCTATAAACCTAAGCATGCACAAGTTTAGCAGATGCTCAACTATGTGATGCATGAATACAGCATTAATGAAATACAGTCTTACGAGGGAAAGGGACTGTCATGTCTAGGTTAATATAAAGTCCTTTTTTTGCTTCTATAATTAATTTCATTTTATTTTCATGAACATTTTAGGTGTATCAATACATGCATGAAACCATAACTGTTAATGGCTGCCCCGAATTCCGAGCCAGGGCCACTGCAAAGGTAGGATACGTGCAACTGTTGAAATACGTGTTACCAAAGTGACCTAGTAATTGACTGTGCGCGTGTGTGTTTCAGGTATTCGTGTGTACACTGTAAGAAAATTTAGACATCAGTGGCAGCCCAGAGTCTAGAACCAGTGCTACTTCCCAGGTAACAATCATAATGGAAAATTTCAACCTTTATGCTGCTTCTGTAGCTTAAGAAAAGAGAATGATTTTATGGAAATTGATGCTTTTTGAAAAGTTGCTTTGCAAAAGCAAATCTACTGGTTCATTCTGCAGCGACCAATATTTTAATGGACTATTTTCCCATACAGCTCATCCAGAGAGGACACAATGATTTGGGAGATAGAAAGTAAACAGCCAAAATTCCACTTTAACTAATGGGAACTGTAGGTATTGAGCAAGCGGTAGGGATGAACAGTGACAAAAATGGCCTGATCAAGAGACGCTACAGCCAAATGCAAGCCCATTTTTTTTCTGATGCATTACCTGTTTTAATAAAACATATTGTCTCGTTTTCCATGTGGACCTGCCTTTCTCATGCCCTTAGACTATGACAGCAACATTAGTACTACTAAAATGGCAGTTTTCTAAGGGAATTCACACAACTGTGAAAGAACTCATTCTATATGCCAGTATGAAATATGCTCTGTGTATTCATAACATGCACAAAGATAGATGCTTCCAAACAGAGAGGTCCACCATGGCTTTCTTTTTTCCATTATCATTTTGTACTCAACACTATCTTCTGGGTGGTATAGTGGGTACTACGCGAAACAGGTAAACCTGCAAAAGCCATAAATATTTTTAGAGACATTTCTTTATGGTCCCACTCCTGTGAAGTTAGTGACAAAACTCCCTGAAATGTTAATGGAACTAAGATCTTACCATTATGTATTTGTGTCAAGAGATTTTAATTTAAAGCTGGATCAGAAGATGAAGGCTGGGGGTATGGTACAAAATGATTTCTGCAGTATTTTAGAGAAGCAAGCTGGGTAGTAGCCAGCAAATAACCTAATATGCTCTAAATTGCAGTGTATTTCCCTTACTAAGTAGAACATTCCTTTCTGTAGGCTGTTCTGATTTTTACCTTCTTCTAACTGAAAGTTTGTGGACAGTGTATATTTGTAAAGTCTATGCTGCTATATAGAGAAATGTCTGTATGAGATTCTAATTTGTCTACACTGCAGGTAAATGTAGAAATTATTGCTGTGTTGTATAGTAAATGGGGAGAAACTCAATTAGTGTTTGCCATTCTCATTTCTTATTCGTATAGAACAGCAGGGTTACAGAGCAATGTTTCAGTATCGCAGTATTTCCTGGTTATTTCTGGGCTGTCTGCATTGCATTCTTCTAGTGCATTCATGTCTGACATAAAATGTATGCATGATGACAAGGTCTGCATGTGCAAACACATGTAACTGAGAATGATCCATTATGTCACATCATCCACTAGCTTCTATTAAACATAAGCATTATTAGGATGCTTAAAAACATTAGCATAATGCAGAATTGTTCAACCAGTTTGGACTACAAACATATATTGAAAAGGATAAAAGATTTTCTTAATGTTTATTTAATGATTTATTGAGATCTAGAAGAAGGAAAATACTTGTCATAAGGAATGAAGTATAAGATGTAATATTTTTCTGGACAAGCTTTACAGTTTGTTACATGGGTTTTTTTGACAGAGTAAGATTAACAGTCTAGGATTTTTGTAATTGATTTATAAATCCACTGTCTTTAGATTTAATTTTTCAATGAAAGTTAATCCAATTACATTATAAAACCTAATATTCCCGTTCCAGGAGTTCTTCAGTTTGCAAGATTTCATAAAGATTATAAATTAAATGTTTTAAAATAAGAATATACTTTTAGGATTTTTTTTGTGTCCCCAAAGAATAAAATAAATCATTCCATACCTCTGAAAGCAGAGCAGAGAGTTAACAATTCAGTTCATCTGCTTTATTTCAACAGTAGATATCACATTATCTTATCCCACAGTAATAAATAATGCACTAGTGATGATAAGTGCTCACCACCACGCAGTCAGGCTTCCCAGTGCCTACTTCTGGCTCTGCTGCTAACTTTCTGCGTTATCTTTGACGAGTTACCTAAACTCTCTATTCCTCTGCTTATTCCTTTATTTCAAAGGCATTGGCACGGAACGTAATTCTTTTAAACTGCTTTCAGATGATCAGAAAAAGTCAGAATAAGTTACTGACATGTTTTCACAGGAATTAATTCTTCCTGCAAATGAACAACAGAGTGTATATCAGTGTTCTCCCTGCATAGCCATATCACTTGTTTTTTTCTTCCAGGCAACAGTTGCTGCTTTTGCTGCAAGTGAAGGCCATTCACACCCACGAGTGGTGGAGCTGCCAAAAACAGATGAAGGCCTGGGCTTTAATGTCATGGGAGGAAAGGAACAAAATTCACCTATTTATATTTCTCGCATCATTCCTGGAGGAGTGGCGGAGAGGCATGGAGGGCTCAAACGGGGGGACCAGCTGCTTTCAGTTAATGGAGTGGTACGTGGAAATTTGATAGAGCTTTCATTTTCATCTGGGTTTCATTTTCATTTTTCACAGCTGTTCTAATACCATGATTTAAAATGCAGCCATATGATACAAAAAGAATTAGCTCTGTGAGAGACCTTCAGTGTGCATTTGTGATGCAGTGAGGCAAAGCTGCATTGACAACTTTGTGCCACTACAATTTCTGTTGTAATGGAGAGTGCTTAAAGAGCTTCATTTTAATTCTGCACTACATGCTTAATTTACCAGGAAGCTATGTCTTTCTCAATTGATAATTTTGTAAGTTCCTTTTGCAGTAAAAGCATAATAACAGGCTTTCTCATTCTTGCACTTCATACCACCTGAGGCACATAGCACTTTCCAAGCACAGTGATGCCTCAGTGGCTCTTGTGCAGCCTTGTGACCTTCAGAGTATTTGAACACATAAAATCAAAATAAATTGGGTAAGCACATTTGGTGCTGATTTGCAATGGAAGGCATATTCCAGATTTCTTTCAGTGACATTCGTCCAGCTGTGATATCTTTGTCAGAGAAATCAGCTGTACAAATGAACACATACAGGGAGCATGTATTTTCAACGAAAAGGTACCGTTTTTTACATAGTAATTTTTTATGTAAGTCAGTACTTCAAGGTGGAGTGTTTTTTAGTAGTTTCACTGTGAATGTCAGTATGGAGATAAAAATATAAGGGCTCTTGGAATAGAGAGGAAAAATAAGACTCCTACTACATGATATGGGTAAAATTCCGCCTTTCATTTTGCTTTTTGTTCCCTTTTACAAGGGAATGTAAAGTACTGAAAGGGTAGGCATACTCATTCATATAACCCTACACTTCTCTTAATGAAAACATAATCCTTTTTCATGCAAAACCTCCATCTAAACCTCATATTTAAATAGACCAAAGGCACGTAGGAGCAATTCCTGAATCCAGTCATAGATAAAAGACTTTCCAACTTAAATTTCCTCTTTGTTGGAAGCCCATAAAGAATGAAAAAAATGCTGTTTTCTGCATGCTTTCATGTTGTCATCTGTTTCTCTCAACAATAGCTATTCCCTTTCTCTTGAAACAGAGTATCAGTGCAACACTTCAGACAGGCTGTTTACCACTTCTATCAACCACCATGTTCTCAACAGAGAAATAATAGGTCTGGAAGCTTACTTGCCCCTGTACGCAATGAGAAAGAAAAGATACAAAACAAAAAAAAGAAAACCCACTGAAAATATTATTTCTTCTCAGAGGAAAATAAATCAACTGAACATTTAATAAGTCAATTGCCTGAACTTCACCGATTGGAAGTAGAAATAATTTTGTTGTTTTTCAGCATTCACCTTTCAACAGGTGAATAAAAAGAGTTTATAGTCACTAATTGATGGATGATTCTTGAAATTTTTTTTACTGTCAACAGTGCCTGAGCAAATACCAGGGAAGAAAGTGGTGAACCTTCAGATGTCAAGACATACTGAATTTGACTGTTGTCTCCTCTATTTCATGATACTCTGTTCAAAAAAATTCATGAATGTGCTCAAGAATATATGTTAAGCTCATAGAGCAGAAAAACACAGTATAAAATTCCCAATTATATGTATGCACATGAGAAAGTTGATTCCAAGATGCAACAGAAATATTTTTACATTCAGAGTCTAAACAACAGAATTTGAAATTTGAATTGCAGTTGCATTGAAATAATACCTATGAGCAACTGCTCACACCGCAGTCTTGGGCTGAGCTAAGCCCATACAATATAATTCGTAAAAAGGCAAAAATTATAGAAGTGGCAATTTGTTTGCAGACAGCTTGAGACAGGAGGAAAAAGGTCTAAATTTAACGCTGTTCACTGGGACTAGTTCACTCTGTGCTTCTCTCAATTTAGCTGGAGAAAAGCAAATAATATACAGTATGTACAATACAACAGACGGCTCAGCAGTGGAACATGAAATGAAAATGGAATATCTGTAACTTGTTTGTGCTCAGAAGTTGGTGGTTATCCAACTTTGTAATTATCAACATAAAATTAGAGCTGTGTGTTCAGAGTCCAGATTTGTTATCCCAGCATGACTGGGCTGACTGTTCCTTGAGCTGTTTTGCCGGATGTTAAAAAAAGTGTTTTCTCATTATGCTGGGGATTTTGTTACATACTTTTGTCCTACACCCCCTAAAAGTAAAGGAAATTGAAAGCAGTAAGCCCTGCAGGTGGCTCAGCAAAGGCACTTGCTGGTGGCTGTTCATATCTGGCAAAGATTCTGCATTTGTCAAATACCTGGTGTGAGTCAAATACAGAAAGGAATACAAAATAGGTTTATAGTTTCTCACCTAAGTATTTGCTTACAGATATCTAATAGAAATATTCCTCTCCGGTTCTCAACTTGTGGGCTAGCAATCAGATTCTTTTTTGTCTGCAAGAAAGTGGGATTTTTTTCTTTTGTATTTATGACAAGTCTGTGAGCCTGGATACAGTAATGGTTGATGTTTCCCCAGACCATATCTGCAGTTCTTTCAGCTGTTCTTGTCTCTACAGTATTTTGCATCCCTTTTTTGGATGCAATCTGACAATGCAACAAGAGAAATACATATGTAAGTATATATAAATGTATGTAATAAAAAAATACATATTAAATAAAGATAAAGATATACATTCTGAAACAAATTTATTAAATCCACGTTTGGTGGACAGTTCTAAAGTAACTTGAATGTCATATCCTTGCAATGTCCCCAGCCAGTGTAATACACTCAGCAAAATCCCTTGTACAGGCATGACCAATACCAGCAATGAGTCCTGCACCAGCACAGCCGCAGAGGTTTGCAGAGGCAGAAGAATTCAAACAGCACAACAACTTCCTTTGCTGGTATAAGCTCTTTTCCCTACTCCAAGGGGCTCTGCTATTTAAGTTGTGCGGCTACTGCTAGGCAGGTGAAGCATTTATAATGCCTTGGAAATACGAGTGCAAGCAGCAGTATAGATGTTAAGAGCAAGTACAGCAATCACATTAATAGCAGTTGAAAACTGTAGTTGTTAAGACCTGAGTTAGGTACATTTGGAGAGTAGGGGTCCTACGTAGCAGCACTATCTTTTGTTGCCTTTGTTATTTTGCCTTCTTTGGTTATGGTTCAGAGCTGTAGGCTTAATTCTGTATCATTACTATTCAAGTCAGTGGAAGTTTTCCATTGACCTGAATAGCAACAAAGTCAAACGATTTGTTTCTAATTAGAAGATACTGGCTGTAAACTGGAAAAACAAGTCTGGAGGCACATGGGGAAGAAAACAGGCCATCATGAATTAAATACAGTTTACTAAGTTGTATGAAGTATTAAAGTACACCATCTTGTTATTCCTTTATAAAACAGATACAATCACAATTGTTTATTGATGTCAGTTAGAACCAAACAACTCTTTGAAAGCAAATGAATATTTTGGCTATTTCATGTAGCTTGGGACCTTGACAATTTTTGTTCATAGCCTGTTCTAAGTTCATACTTCCACAGCAAAACTGATCACAACAACACTGAGTACACTGTTTCCTCTGAATGTCCATGCCATGTCATACTTACCAAATTTTATACAGTTCCTCTTAAGGTGAGAACTGTGTTTACAAAAGCCAGTATCAAAGCCAGTCACAAAGCAATGAGTTATAAAAGATAGCTAGTTACACTATGTGTTAGTTATGATCACCTCTTCTAACATTGAGCATTTATAGGGTAGGGGATGTGGGGAAGAGGTTTTAATTTGTATCTGTGACTTGGTTATTAAAGCAATTTCACAAAATACCCTATGCATCTATAGCTTTTTATTTTAGCACCCTTTGAAACATTAGATACATTCACTGTTTCTCATACAACAACAATTTCCTCTTTTTCAAATATTTGTAAGGAAACTCTTTTTTCTTTCTCCAAATTACTTTTGTGTAGCAATGCTTGTTCACCAGATTTATCCCAGTCACGATTTCTAACAAATCTGGTCATCACAGATCATGAATTTTCTTTAAAATCTTCGAACAGGAGATGTACTCGAGGAATTTAATGAACATACAGTTCAAAAACATGAAGTCATTTATTTCAACAATCAAATGTCTATTTACTTCAAGGTTTTCTCTGTTTCTGGTAATCATTCAGCACCTGTTGCATTAATATTTTCAAAGCATCTTAACATTTATGTAGAAATTCTTGAGTCCAGTCAGTTGACCCAGACATTAAATAATTATTTGTATGTAAAAAGTTGAAGGGTATTTCACAGGAGAAGAAAGAAAAATAGCAAGGCGATAAGCTTGAACATTGTTGTTTATTATTTTATGTATAAGTGTATTATATATAAATTCTTCTGCTTTTTGAAACTTTAAAATCATGATTTTTAGCTCATAGTGTACTACAGCAGAAGTAATGCTTATTCACTGTTCTTGCACAATGCTACTCAGTCAAATAGGAGAGATGAAAATAGAAAGAGTTTTCTTCTGACAGTTGCTATCATGATGCTAAGTCATTCTTTTAGCGTGAATTGAACTCCAAATATTTGGAACGCTGCTGCTTCTCTTTGGAGGCTTATGGGTATAATTTCATTTTAAATACCATGGTATACATAAGAGTTTTAAAACACAGCATGTAGTAAAACTTTGATTTATTTTATATTGGAAGAAAATTACTTATTTTTTAAATGGTCTAAATTCCATGTGAAGATCTCGGTTGTGTGGTCTTTTTTTTAGTGTACAGAGTTTGTTGGAATATATCCTACAACACACATAGGCAGTCATACACTATTAGAAAATTTCTCCCATTCTCTTAAGGTGTGGAACAATCCACATGCCTGAAAAGCACCCTGGTCAGTCCACTTAATGGTAGAAATTAAATACTCTTTTCACAGCTGAAACATCTCTCCCTTTTGGAAATTTACTGTTTCAAACAATGTTAGCATAGAAATCAGAGCTTGAGCCCCTTTGGGAATACTTTTGATTACACAGCAGATATCATCTTACTGTAAATCATTTTCCAGAAAGGGAGGGAAAATCTGTATTCCTTCAGCAAGGACTTGCAATGTTTCAGTTGTTAGTGTTTGCTTGCTTACAACTAACCAGTTAAATACCAGTTTATTTCTAACAGAGAACCTGTATAACATAATGTTAAAATGTGTGAGTAATGCCATTAACTAAGACGTGGCTTGTCCCCAGGAGCCGTGGGCATGCTCCTTCGCCTGCAGCTCAGCGACTGTTTAATCACCACATGTTGTTCCCTGCGGGATCCAAACAGGGTCACAATGTAAGAAATAAATTGCAATTTCAAACTTGCAATTTCTTCATTTCTTACCAACATTTAAATCTATTTTGTACCTTGCAAACAGACTGTTTGGGTTTTTACTGCAGGGTTTGGGGTTTTTTAACATTATTTTTGTTTACATAAAGCTTGTTGAGTATTTCCCCTTGTTTTCACACAGATCAGAAATTAGCTTTGTAATGCAACCTAAAACAGATTTGGGTTATTTAAAATATGAAAATGAATACACTTCCAACAGTGCATAAATCTTACTTAACATTTTCCCTTAATGGTCCCTTGAAAGATGTAAGGTGTGGAAACTTCCTAAAACCCTGACAGCCTTTCTGTATGAAAAAAGAGGACAGAGCTCTAGATCAAAGTAGCATTTTCATTATTAAATCTGTTCTCCCTGCTCCCAGAGCGTGGAAGGAGAGCACCACGAGAAGGCGGTGGAGCTGCTGAAGGCGGCTAAAGACAGCGTCAAGCTGGTTGTTCGCTACACTCCCAAGGTGCTGGAGGAGATGGAGGCTCGCTTCGAAAAACTGAGAACAGCCCGGCGCCGGCAACAGCAGCAGTTGCTCATTCAGCAGCAGCAACAGCAGCAAACTACACAGCAAAACCATATGTCGTAGGTGAGAGGATTCATTGGTCTTCCCTAAAAGCCTGCTGACAGCACCCCGCCTGGGCCAGCAGCTCCCGGGTCCAGGGTTCCGTCAGGGCAGGGCTTGGCACCGGGGCCCGTCCCAGCTCCAGCCAGGAGCAGGGCAGTCGGGGGGACCGGGGCAGCCCCAGGCATCAGGCATCTGCCTGGGGGTGGCAAGCGGCTGAGGCCCGGCTGGGCCCACAGCTGGGCCTGGTTCAGTGGGGCCCGTGGCCGGGCAGGGCAGGGCTGTGGGAAGCGGGAGACCAACCCTGCGGCAACATCACTGGGGCAGGGGCTGAGGGCCCTGGGGGGAGCGTGGGCAGGTGGGGGGAGCCCCAAGGGACTGACATGAAGTCCTGGGCAGGGGACAGGGAGGGAGCCCAGGGAGGGGTCAAGGAACAGTCAGGGCTGGCAGTGCCCTCAGGGTCCCAACAAGCACGTACTGCAGGGAGAATGATCAGAGCTCATTCTTTGATCCATTACCACTTGGTCTGTCCTACTAAAAATGCATTTTGAAAATAGGTGAAAGATCCTAATGAATTCCAGAGACAATTTCCAACTAATAACCCTGAGATCAATAGCCACTGTGCAGCTCTAGCTTACCTGCAAGCAAGACTGCATAAGTTTGTAGTTCCTGGGAACATTTTTAATTAAAAACCAGAGCATTTGTGACAAGTAAGAATATGCCACCAGGTTTAGACACAGTTTAATGTATTTTCAAATAGTCTGTTACCACTCTGCAACACAACATTGAGATTTGCTGCTGGTGTGTGAAGAAAAGCTTTTCTAGTCCCTTCCTTGCTACAGGGAACCCAAACTTCACTCTGTGGTTCCTCTGCAGGGAACCCACAAGTGCTTCCTTCTCATCTACAGTTTGATAGGAAGTATTTCATTCATGCTTGTAAGTTTCCCAATGTCGTCAACACACATGGCATGTGAGGTGCAGAGATTCTCCATATATGTAGTTTTTATGAAGTCACTGAGAGTTTGTGACATTAATACATTTATAGAGATGCTCCATTTACCCAAATGAAATCAAGTAGGAAGCATATCCCAATGACTTACATCCCAGTCCTCCACATCTCATACCAGGTGTTCCCAAAACAGGATGTTTGTAATGGTAGGAGTCTACAAGTGACTCAGAAGGTCTCCAAACAGGCAGAAACTGAAGCTTCCAGTGATCGTTTCATCATTATTAATGTTGACACTGACCTTTGTTGATATGTAGGGGGAAAAAACCCGCCTTGTAGATCCCCTGTCCTGTGACGACCAGAATTACAGCTTTGTTGATGCAAAGTCTCCAAGTGGGATCTGAATCTCACCTCAGGGCCTTAACTCAGGCAGGAGGTATAACAGTAGCATTTAATGAAGTCAGGTTTGAGTTTCTGTGTAAAATAGAGCCATTACAGGACACAAACATACAAACAGCACAGTCTCATTAAGTTTTTAATTTTTTCAGTTACCTAAATCTTTTCACTAGCAAGTAAGGTATTTTTACTGATTTAAATTTTTTCTTTAAACTAAAAGGGAAGAAAGGCAGGCAGAGAAAGGCAGCAACTTAATTCCTCAATTCCTTGTGCTTGCTCTGAGAAATGCATTTCTGTAATTCTAGGTTATTCTCAAGAAAAAAAAAGCCTCGATCAAGAGTTCAGTAATCAAGCAACCAGAGCTGTACTTCAGTATTCCAGCAAAAGGAAACAACTATGAGAACATGAAACAGAATTAATCTGGAGAATGCGCAGCACAAGAATAACGTACTTAAGACAGCCATAGGGAGGGTACCTTCATGAGAAGGCTTTTCAGCACACAGCAGTCACAGATACATAGTGCTTCTGTGAGTCTGTTCCTGGTGAGAACAGCATGATAGGTAAACCCTATGAAACAGAGAAGTCCAGGGCTTCCAAATAGTTCTGTTTGATCTAATCTTGCACTCCTTACTCTGACAAATTGGCCAGTTGGCTTTCTTTAATCACTTAAAGTTTTATTTTAAGGAGATCAAGATTGGCTGCTTCTGGGTACAGAATCTTTCTCTACAGTTATCTCCAGAAATGAACAACTACATCAGTTCAAAATTTTGCCACAGACATCAAACTCATACATCACGCTTGATAGCCACTTTGTACTATATATTGTAGAGCTGTTTTAACCTAACTTCCTGTTTATAATTTTGAATTTTCCCTCTGGAAATAGCAATTTACTATATTTATAAAAGTATTCCATTTGTAGAAGCAATTGGCTTTTTACTCTTGGTGTTTCCATATATTTTATTATGCATCAACAGAGTGAGAAAGTTTTAGGTCAATTTTAATTGTATTAGCAGTAAAGTTAGGGAATCCTAGAACTGTATTTTTAAACATAGGTATTGCTTGTATCTATTATAGTTACTATTCAGAAATCTATAACTGGATATATTATATATTTATTCCATAAAATATATATCGTTTGAATGTACCTGTTAGAGAAGTAGGGTCTTTGCTTAGCATGTGTTGCAAATGTAGTAAGCTAATGTTAGCAAAAGACCAAGCTTTGTTTGGCAGATATTACTGTGATAGCATAATCTCGGCTTTTCTGTATTCTTTAATTTATTTTCCAGTCTAATGTTACTACATTTTAGAGAGGAGGAAGTGTAAGTTATTTCCTTTAAGACTCACACATTATCATTTAAATCAATTTGAAGTTAGAGTTCTGACTTTTTTTTTTTTTTAATCAAACCAAATTGGAATGTGCAAACAAAATACATAACTAAGTTCTTAAGTTTACATGTCTGCTTTTCCAAAGAAAATAGTCAAAGCTGGAAGGCTATAAATGTCATCTGCTTTAAGAAAACAAGAAAATGGAACCCTCAGATTCTAAAAAAATAATTATTTTCAGCATGCCTTCTATGCTTCATTAAAAAAGACCAGGGGAGAAAAGGAGCTTAGGGGAGAACCCTACAGTCCTTGCATGTTGAAGACTCCAGCTGATGTCAGTGAAAGTTTAGTAATGCGAGGAATGTAGAAATGTTCTGAATCAGTGTTCTGGTTGTGAACTTGGAACAAAGTCAGAAACCATTAATATTTTGAAGGTTCTATTCTCAAACAGAGAGGCAAAGCAAACAGGAGAAATTGGCAGTATCACAGCATATGTTAGAAACCACATGCTAGCCAACAGTCTTGACAGTGTTTGATTAATGTAAGTAGCCATTGAAAGGAAATTACTGTATTTTTAAAACCAAACAGCATGAATTCATCCAGAGAAGCCTTGTTTTATACAGAGAAGTAATTCTATCCAGTGGTCATTGGTGACAATATCAATTAAGATGGTGGAGTTCGAGAACTACCAGAATTAAAGATGAAATATATTGTATTGTGCTCTGCACGGTGTCTTTTTATACTGAATAAAATTGTATGTACCTATTTTAAAACTGTATTCTCAAACTGACACTGCTATTAATATTGACGGTATATAAATTGTTATTATGACTGCATATAACTGTTCTGTATCTCATCAGTATGATTTGAATTACACCGATATCTGCATTTTCAGAGACCAAGTATTCAGATTTAGTCAGCCCACTGTACTGCGTTTTTCCAAACTGCCTCTCTACCTCCTCCCCTCCCCTTCCCCAAAAAATTCAGGCTTGATGGAGTGGAATGTGCTGATTAATAAATCCCAATAATAGAATGTAATTCATGTAGAGAAGCTTATCAAAATCATTTTCATATATTATTCAATAAATTATTTATACATACTAAAAATAACATTCTAGTCTTTGCCAACATTTAGCAGTAAGATAAAATAAAAATATAAGTAAAATACAACTGTCAATTAATTTGAAATGGAGGCAGGAATAAATAACTTTTTAAGGGTCACTTTTCATTCCCTTACTGATAATAAAACATATAGCCACTTAATCACAGAGTAATCTGTGTCCCTAAACCTATCATCTGCATTTAGTTGTAGACACTTTTCGTTTGTGATCTAAATGTCTGGTCCTGAGGCAGGAAGGCACTTCCACACATGCATTGCTGAATTAGAACCTAAAAGAAGTGCAGGGAGAACACTTTCCCCATGCAGGTCTGCAGGTACTTGCTCACTGTATTCTAACTGATCGGTCTCCTGGCAATTGCCGTTTCACTACACTGAATTGTTATTCCTTCCGTCAATTTAGTGAGTTTTGTTGCTCACATTTACCCTTGGGGCTCCAAAATATTTCTCTGCCCTGGCAGCAAAGTGAGGTAGGAGATCCAAGAAGTCTTTTCTCTCTTTATTACAATAACAAAAGAGGTGCCCTGTGATTTTTACAAGCTCTTGCATTATGTTTACTTATGCCAAAGATCCAGATGTAAGATCTAATAATAATAGAGATTCAGAGGTGGTGGCATTTACTTACTGAAGCTGATGGATCTGCTGTGCTAGCCATAGTTTTTCTGTTTGTGACTTGCACTTTATAGGGGATTGAAGGATTTCTTGGGCCTTGATAAAGTGAAAAGCTCACCAGGTTGCATTTTCCTCTTTTCCTTCTTCGCTGCCAAATCATAGATGAAAGGTCAATGAATGCCCATGAGTGAAGGAAATTACATAAAAGCTACCCACAGTTCCTTGGGAATAATACTGCAGACCTTTTAGTCCTATACATCGTACCTTTTATATGTATTTATCACTGCCATGTTTCGAACCTGACTTGGGAACCTTTGGGCACTATTGCAGAAGGCACAAAATTATATGCCACATTTGCAGGAAAAAGGAACTGTTTATTCCTCTACTAACTTTAGGGATTTTAGAGTTCTAAATGAAATTAAGATCTCATTAGCAAATAAAGCTCCTAGAATAAAAACATACTGAACAAGAGGAAGGGTGATTTTGCCTGTGTTTGAAATAATAGAGAATTTTAAGTACAATTTCAGATTTTAAAATCGTTATTATGCTCATAGAAGATGTATTTTATTGCAGGATGGGAGACTGTTTCAGAAAGGTAGCAATTCTTTCTGAAAATGAGATAATGAAAGAAAACTGACTGAACATTCTCCTAATGCAGAACTGTGTCTACAAGAGCTAAGGGGACCCTTCCCCATATAAGCAGAGGATTATCAGCTAGAAGTAGTACCGTCCCTGCATAAGCATTAGTGAGACCATTTCATATCCAGCATTCAATAAAACAAGTTTCAAGCCCAGAGAGTATTCTGGGACAATTTGCAAGAATTCTCTGCCTGCTGCGTTACATCTAATTCTTGCAAGCAGACCCAAGCTTACCCTGCTTGTCCATAAAGCAAATGCAGTCTTGTGCTCTGAACCAGCAAAAAGATTTAGGTACGTGTTTGATGGATTCATCGCCTCTACCTTCAGCTGTCTAAAAGCAAGCTGCAGAGCTTAGGCTGGTTGTTTCCAAGGTCAACAGAGAGTTAGAGGCATCCCTCGAATGTGGTTCATTCCACCCATCTCTGACATCTATCTTAAAAGAGGATAAGGCATCCTGGAAATGGGTTTATAAGCAGAGCCACTGACTAAACAGCCTCAATTACTAGCTTGAAGTAAGTAATGTCTTTTGGGGTTTTTTTGCTGCCTCACTTATACTCAGCTTCCTAAGAAATAAATAAATACCCAGCCACCAGTGTTTGAATTCCCTGAGTGGAAATGGTAATAGCAGAAGCCTGTATTGCCACTGGGCTAGGGTGTGTGCATTTTACGATACCTGCAGCCAAGAAGATGAGAAATTGGTTTTGATTTTTGGCTAGAGAGATGCACAAAAGTGAAAGCCATCAAACTTCTAACATATAAATTTGTGGGACCAAGAGTCATAACAAAACGACCAGTTCTGAAAACTAGAAGCCTGCAGCTATCTAGGATTAAGTAAAAAGATTACAAAAGCAGAAAATTTCTATAAGGAGCAGCCAAAATCCAAAAGGAAAAAAAAAATCCCATAGGGATTTAATATCTGACCTGCTTTTAATTTACTTTCTTATAGTTAGTTTCACTCTTATGAACTCATCTGACCAAATGGGAAGCATATGATTCAGCAATTGTGCGTAACTTTTATCAAAACCATAAAGAGCTGATAGGGTAGATGAATACCTCTTCCCTTCCTTCCCCCTTCTTTCCTCTCTCTGAGGCTTGAATGAAGCTGGGTTCTGTCTGTGAGAAGGTGAGACCCAAATACATCCCAGTGCAACAGTTTCTTCATTCTTCATGTTACAGTTCCTCCCCACCAGCGATCCTCAATGTTTCCTTGAAGTGGGCATGTTTTATAGACCTACAAAATCATGGTTATTTCAAGGACAACTTGATATTAAGCCTCAAGCTATAAATCTTGCCCAGCCTTTTCATTTTGACATCCCAAACCAGACCAACTATTGCACTTGTAATAATCCAGCTGGGAGCCTGGGTTTAGCTTGTAAACTTTTGCAATTAAAAACTGTGTCCCAGGAGTCACTCCTCTAGCATTTCTGTTGAAATGAAAGAAAATTAGCCAGTGTAGTGCTAGAGAAAGGGGAAATACTTATGATTTTTCACAAATGTGTGAAAACTTCTCCAGGAATATAGATTAATTTTCTCTAAACAAGTTACTTTTCTATGTTGGGAGGACAAGCCACTGCTGTAGTGGGTAGGGGTAGGTCCACCTCAGAGGAGAGTAATTTAGAGACACTTCTCTCTCTCATCCCAAGTCTACTCATATCTAACACCCCCACTTTTTTGCCCCAAATTCCCTTTGACTAGAGCCCAAGTATCACCACAAAGCTATTCCAACTCTCCCACCCTTCCCCTGCTTTCATGTGAATTTTTTCTTAGCAGTGACACTTCTTGTCCACATGCAAACTCCTCAGGCAGCTATGGCATTTAGGCTTTGCCAGGTGCACCTCCTGGAGTGCTCTTTTACTTCACTTGTACTCTGTATCCATTAGCTGCCTCTCCGATGGCCACCACAGTCAGCCTTGCTTCCCACACACAAAATAATGTAACTACCCATGAGAAATAGGGGGGGGGATAAATTGAGGGAGTAGAAAAATGGTAGGCAATTCTTGAAAAAATTTTTCTCAGAGTATACCAAGAATGCCCCCTCTTTCCCAAGTTAGCTCCTTCATCAGGTGATGATTTTCACCTTCGTTTAGTTCCCTGCTGACAAAGCGCTATATGCAGTCATGCTGATTGTGGAACAGCCATACAATCTCCTCTGGCTGAAACAACAGCTCCTTATCTGGAACCGATGGACATGTAGAGCTGCTTGAAGGCACTGCACAGTGAATTCGCACACCTGCCGTAAGTCAGAGTTGCTGTGCATGCACTGACTGTGCAAGTGTACAGGTGACAAAGACTCAGCATGTCTGGCACACAGACCCATGTCTGTCCAGGATTTTGAAGATGGAAATGTGGAACGAGCCACTGGCAATATCCTAACATAGAGTTAGAGCCTTCAGCCATCCAGTTTGGAAATGTTTGTATTATAAAAAGACATCCAGGAACCAATGTTTCATTTACTTCAAAGTTCTATTTCAAAGTAAGTTTTCAACAATAAGCAGTGAGAAACCAAGAAACATTCTTAAACTGTTAAGGATCAGACATGCAGATGACTTAATTTCTCTACGTTAGTTGTGCTTCAGGTGCAGAACTTGTGCCAGGACCACCTTTCAAGCCTTGGTTTTGTGCATGCCTATGCTTATAGCATGCCCTTGTTTATAGCATTGACAGGAAGAAGTTAAACTATTCACCACTGAGTCTTAGTACCCCTAAAGTACCCCTTGACTGCTTACAGGAAGGGGGCTTAAGCAGCAATTAACTCAGACTGAGATGCGGGTGCTGACTAGGTCTTTTGTAGCAATATTTGTCTCCTCTGTTTTGTATTGCACCAACTTCAGAATTTCAACAATTTGTTCCAAAACATGTTAGTTTGGTTTCCCCTGTAGACACAGCAAGTTTACAGCTCTGTTGAACGAGTACATCTAGCTGTCCTTACCTGTATCTATGTTCAGCTGGACAGTGGCACCGTACAGCTCTCAGTGGAATAAATAAGCTAAG